TCTGGGACAAGTAGGAAGGCCTCCCCTGCCGCCCAACCAGCAGGGGCAGCAGCAACAGCAGCAAACAGGAGCCTCTTCCCTTAGGTGGCAGCAGCAGCAGCAGCAGCAGAGGCAGCCGGGGGTTGATTTTTCTGCCCAGCCTCTTTCTCCCCCCCAGCGACCCTCACAAGCACCCATGCACCCATCCCTGTCTCCCATCCCCATGCACATGCCCCAAGGCTCGTCACGTGATCCCTTTCCCCGAGGCCCCGCCTCTGGCCCCGGGTTACCTGGTTACCAACCTCCGTCCTTCGCACCTCCAGTTCCTCCTACCTCTCGTCCTTCCGCCTCCCCCGTCCCTCCTGCTGCTCCTGATGTGATAAGGCCGCCGCCGGTAGGGGGAGGGCAGCCTGCAGGGGGGGAACAGGCTGGAGGTGCAGGCTTTTCTGGAGCAGGTTTACCTGCAGGGATCACCCCAGAGCTCCTGGCGTCTCTGTCTACGCTGCTTCCGAAGCTCAACGCCCCTGGCGCTGCTCCTTCTGCTGGCACTGGCGCGGGTGCTGCTAATGCCGCTGCTGCTGGTGCGCCTGGTAACGCCATGGGCATCCCTTCTGCTGGAGCAGGCACGGGTGGGATGAGACGAGATTTCTCCCCTGTGCCGCCCCCACTCCCCCCTGCTCCTCCAATGGGAGGGCAGTTTACCCAGAGGCCGCCCGGCCCTCCCCTCCCCCCTCTTCCCCCCCAGCAGCAGCAGCAGCAGCAGGAGGGAATGTCCGTCCCCCAGTTTACACCAGAGCAGCTCGCTCAGTTGAGTAAACTGCTGGGTCAGCAGCAGCCGCAGCCGCAGCCGCAGCCGCAGCAGCAGCAGCAGCAGCAGCAGTCACAGCAAACGCAAGAGCAGTTGCCTTCCAGCCAGGGGGGGCAGTGGCAGGGCGGTCGACCTAGCAGGTGGAGCGCTCCTTCAGACAGCCAGACCCCACAAGGAAACCCTTCAGGTGCTTCTCCAGGTAACCTTCCAGGTGCCATTTCAGGTGCCCCTCCAGGTGCCCCTCTTCCCCCATCTGCTCCGTCTGTGCCCTTTCCTGGCCCTGGTATTCCTGGGCCTCCTCCTAGAGGCCACTTTCAAGGGCCGCCACTGCCCCCGCCACAGCAGCAGCAGCAGCAGCAGCCACAGTGGCAGCGGCAGCAGCAGCAGGAGATGGGAGGGGGTCAGAGGCAGTATGATCCTGATCGGTCGCAGATGCCTCCTCACATGCAGGGTGGGCCGAGGCAGGGTCAGGGTCAAAGCCAGGCAGATGGGGCTGGTTTTGGTGGCAGCAGCATGAGGGGGGCTCCGGCCTTCGGTGACCGCGGTGGTGGGGGTGGTGGTGGGGGGGGTGGCGCTTGGGGAGGCATGGCTGCTGGTGGTGGTTCTGCTGCTGCCGGTAGTGCTGGTGGTGCCCCACCGCACTGGGGTCAGCAGGGGCCTTCAGCACCCTTGCCTCCACAGCAGCCTTTCTACCAGCAGCAGCAGCAGCAGCAGCAGGGGGGGGGAGGAGGTTATGGGCCTGGTTCAGGAGTTCCTTCAGGTGGTTTTTCAGGTGGTTTTTCAGGTGGTTCAGGTGGCAGCATGGGAGTTCCAGCAGCAGCAGCAGTGGTAGCAGCAGCAACAGCAGCAGGAGGAGGCGGAGGAGGAGGAGGTGGAGGAGTGGGGGGTGGGGGTATTGATATGCAGGATGAGAGGTTTAAGGCGACTCTGCAGCTTGCATCACAGCTGCTGCAGCAGATGAAGCAGCAGCAGCAGCAGCAGCCACAGTAGCAGATGCCTGCACCATGAAGCACACAATGTTACAGCCAAAGTTTGGTAAGTTTAGCTGCTGCTTACTGCTTCTACGGCTTTGTTTTTCTTTCTTGCTCCGTCCTTGCTTCTTGCTTCGTTGTTCCCCTTCCCTGTCCATCCCCGTTTTCTGTGTTCTCATCCGTGCTTCGTTGTTTGGGGTGTCTTTTGAGTCGACTCTGTCCATCCCCGTTCTTTTGAGTCGACTCAAAAGTCACCTCTGTCCATCCCCGTTCTTTTGAGTCGACTCAAAAGTCACCTCTGTCCATCCCCGTTTTCTGTGTTCCGGATGAAACAGACACCCCGTTCTCATCCGTGCTTGTTTGGGGTGTCTGTCTAGGGGGCTCTCATTGATGCCTGCTCGCATCCGCATGCATGTGTCAAGGAGTGGGTTAAGGCATGGTGTGGGGCGTGTGCGGATGTAAGTGTGTGCTAGTGTGCGCTTGTTAGTGGGCGTTACATCACGTGTGTGCGAGTGCGTGTGTGTGTGCACGCGCGCGCGCGCGTGTGTGTGTGTGTGCGTGCGTGTGTGTGTGTGTGTGCGTGTGTGTGTGTGTGTGCGTGCGTGTGTGTGTGTGCGCGCACGTGTGTGTGTGTGTGTGTGTGTGTGTGTCCGTGTCTGTGTCTGTGTACGTGCCTGTATGTGTGTGTGCGAGTGTGTGTGTGTGTGTGTGTGTGTGTGTGTGTGTGTGTGTGTGTGTGTGTGTGTGTGTGTGTGTGTGTGTGCGTGTGTGTGCGCGCGCGCGCGTAGGCGTGTGTGAAGTGGGGAGATGGATGGAGATGTGAGTACCTTGAGAGACAGCAAGGAAGGAGGGGGAGGGGGAAGGGGAACGCAGCAGGTGGAGTTGTGAAATGCTCCAGCATGGTGGTAAGATGGAAGACTGACCCAGGCAGTCTGCTGAATGGCCGGCACCCGGAGCAAGGAAGATGGGGGAAGGGGGAAGGGGAAAGCAGGTGGAGTTGTGAAATGCTTCAGCATGGTGGTAAGATGGAAGACTGACCCTGGCAGTCTACCGAATGGCCGGCGGCACCCACAGCAGCCACAGCAGCAGCAGGGCCACATATTAATCTCAGGCGTTTGGATGATTCCCTTTTTGAGGCGCCTCAAAGACAAGTATTCCACCAGCATGGTTGCACGCTGACTCAGGCAACCTATTGAATGGCCGGCAGGCGCTCGCAGCAGCAGCAGCACATCTTACACTCAGGCATTTGGATAAGGCCACACATGAGAGCCGTCGAGACTCCACTCTACCAAGGGCCCTAGGACGTGGGCGAGCATCCATGCGACTCTACCCTGTGCTGCTGAGACCCCGCTGCGTGGGAAGGCGGATTGGAGAGCCATGCGTCTCATGCATGCGTCCTAGCAGCCTCGGCTCTTAACAGCTGGAAGGTCGTAGCCCCCACAGCTTATACCTCTAGTACCTGCCAGCCCATTGTACCCCGCACACAAGATCCGCCCTCCTCATCGCATCTGCTCATAGCTCCTACGGGGGCCCTGGATTCTCCGCCTGTGGCTACGATTTCTCAACGCTCCATTCGCAGCCCGAGGTCTATGCACGCGCCCTGCCGCTCACCTGATTCTGCCTCATCCAATCAGAGGCCCTCTGCGCACCTCATGCGTCACTCAGCACCCACCCTACCCCATTCCTCCGTTCCGTTTCGTCGTTCTCTTAGCTACCTGCTAGGCCTTCAACCCACCCGCGTCCGCGTGCATACTTGCAACCTCTAGGCATTAGGACGGATAGTGCCTGGTGCAGACCGCGACTCCCGCCCACTCTCACTGCTACAAGCGTTGGTCTAGTCGGTTCTGTGCTGGCTGCAGTGCGCACAAGCTGCAGGGCCGCAAGCTGCAGGGCCGCAAGCTGCAGGGCAGCAGGCTGCAGGGCCGCAAGCTGCAGGGCAGCAGGTTGCAGGCACAACCCCTGCAAGGAACATAGGAATGTGACAACCGCATCATGCAGGTCCTTCCTACCACATATGACCGGATCTGCTCTCCGTGCCTTGCAACCGCATCACGCATTTGGCTGCTTTGCCCCCCCAAAGAGCACGTGACATGTGCCTTGAACAACCCCATGGATCCAGTTAGCAGCACGGGGGTTCTCAGCAGCACATGGGTGGTGTTATGTAGTGGGACAAGCTGATGTGAGCAGAGTAAGAATCTGCACCAGTAGCGCAGGGAACAGAGGAGTGCTGGAACACAGGGTCGATGGAAGGAGGGCCATTCATGCGAACAGGGCATGCGAGGAAAGCAGGGAGCTGAGCTGAACCGTTCTGGGGGCTCCTTGGGGCTCCTTGGAAGCAGTCTGAACGCTGGGTGAAGGGATGCTCCGAGGCACCTCAGAAGGATGGGGGTTAGCGGCACAGCCTGCAGGTCCTGACTCCCCCGACTCCAGCCATGCGGTACTGCCGTGTGTTGCGTGGCAACGGCACGGCACCACCCAAGGGGTGCCTTGCCCCTCTGAATCGACAGCAGGTCATTCGTTGCCTGCCTCTCGTGCTCCGGCCGTTCCATTCCAGCAGTTCCTGGCAGTACAATGCGACTCACTGCATGGAGGGGGGGAGCTGATCAGATGCGTGATGATGAGAGGTGGTTGAGTTGAGGGTGCATGAGTGGTTGTGAGGGAGTGAGGCAAGAGTGATAAGTGTGCCTGTGCGTTTCTCCACCACCTTTGTGTTTCTCATGCAGGTCAACCCACAGGGTTATTGGCAGGTCTAAGCGGCAGCATCTTTCTTGGAGGACTTGCGCTCAATGTCAGACATTGCACTTCGACTTTTGGGGGATCCCTGCCTGCTGCATATCCCCTCCGCGTTTACTCACGATTCCTGATTGAATCCTAGAACAGCAAGGTTTGGACTACATAGTTAACTCTAGCAAGTAATGAGCAAAAAGTAATGTAAATACATGTAGCAAAATTATGTTAGGCATAGCATAGCTATTTAGAGGACAATTTGTGGTAAGTGAATGTGCGTGTAGTCCTAGCCCGCAGCATGGGCCAATCAACGTGGCAGTTTTACAAGGATCTCGGGTCACACATTACCTTCGGCGCATCCGGGCCGTCCAAGCCCAAACCTGACAATCAGGCCCCTGTCAGGCCCCAATTGCCGGGAGGCGGCTGTGGGGGCATACTGCGGCGGAATGCGGCAATTTCAAGGCTTGGCAAATGGTTACCAGGACGCTTTATTTGGCCAGCTCATAAAGCTTGCCATCTTTTCATGCGTTCTTTTTACCTCTAGTTTAGCGACACGTCTTTCGTAGTCCATGCGGCTTAGTCGTTTGATGGCCGTCCTCGCGCCGCTGGCGATTTCCTTGCGAGACGCGTCTTTACGCGCTGCTGTTAGCTTCCTTGCATGCGTTTCACGAATCAGAGGCGATTAGTCTGCTCTTATTAAAAGATCTGTTACTTTCGGCTTCGCCAACTGGATTTGGCTTGAGTTGTAGGGCGGACTCGTTACCTCTTATTAGCGCACCGCGTGTATCCGCGTTTCCAGGAGCCTTAGCAAGCCGCGTGAGGATGAACTGGTCTCTATCCTCGCTAGAATCATGCCCGTCAGACGCGTCCGTCGGGAGCTTGAAACGATTAACGTAGGGATGATGATGTCGGGCTCTATCCTCGCTATTATCATATCCGAGGTGCTATACGCTATCGTCTCGTAGCGAGGTATTCGATTCAGCTGTCATACGATGTTCCTAGACTCTATCGTCTCGAGAATCCTCCGTCAGAAGCTACCTGAATTTCTCCCCGTGCAGCCAATCCATCCCCTTTTATGAGAATTCGCTTGACTCTCTTATCAGCTGTCACACGATGGTGCTAAACGCTACCGTGTCGAGAGTAATCCGGCAGAAGCTATCCGAGCTTCTCCCCTTGCAGCCAATCCTGTTTTGAGCCCTGTTTTGTGAGAACTCCTGTGACTCTCCTAGTCAGCTGTCACACGATGGTGCTAGACTCTATCGTCTCCAGAATCATCCGGCAGAAGCTCTCGGAGCTTCTCCCCTTGCAGCCAATCCATCCAGATGCCGTCCGAGCGAGCGTCCTCAACGGTTCAGTGCACCTGGCCGAAGCCGTGGCGTGTCCAGATTCATTGAATCGGGAGTGGGTGGGGGGGGATAGTCCCGTGCGGGTGTCAGCTGCACGTGTTGGGTCTGTGAGGCTGGAGATACGGCTGCTGGGATCGGAGCACGTCAGACTGATTGTGAACGGCCTTGATGTCAGCTTAGTGCCGAGGTCAGTATAACCGTGGATCCCATCATACTCCGTCTTAAGGGCTGGATCTAGGGCTGCTGGGATCGGAGCACGCCAGACTGATTGTGAACGGCCTTCATGTCTCCTTAGTGCCGAGGTCAGTGTATTTATAGTATTTGTCAGTCCCAAGGTCAGTACGCACATATGCCTGTCAGGGCGATCTGTGTTGGGTCAGTGAGGCTGGAGATATAGCTGCTGGCATCGGAGCACGCCAGACTGATCGTGAACGGCCTCCATGTCTCCTTGGTACCCAGGTCAGCATACTGATCTTGCACTGGCCGTCAGATTGCCTGCCAGTGCGATCAGTGTTGGGTTGGTGAGGCTCTAGATATGGCTGATGACATCAGACCGGAGCACATACGATACGACGTGATTGTGAGCGCCCTTTTCGCCCCTTTCCCCTTAGTTTCTAGCCAGCTGAATCACTTGCTACTTGGCAACATACGCTCAGCTAAACGGGTCGTCCCTTCCCTTCCTCTCCTCCTCTTCTGTGCCATGATCCACCACCCCCTCCTCTCCCATGTCCCTCCCACCACCCCCTCCTCTCCCATGTCCCTCCCACCACCCCCTCCTCTCCCATGTCCCTCCCACCACCCCCTGCCATGCCACTGCATCAGGCCTTTTGAGTCGACCCAAAAGTCATCTCCCTTGTCCCTTTCACCACCTCCTGCCACTGCATCAGGCCCGCTTGCAAGCCACATGAAGATAACAGCAGAGCGTATGATCAGCAGCAGCATAGAGCGGTGGTGGGCGAGGGAGAGGATGGGGCGACTTTTGAGTCGACTCAAAAGTCACCTCTCAACAGCAGAGCGTATGATCAGCAGCAGCAGCAGCAGCAGCAGCAGCAGCAGCAGCAGCAGCAGCAGCAGCAGCAGCAGCAGCAGCATAGAGCGGTGGTGGGCGAGGGAGAGGATGGGGCGTGCAGCGAGGATGAATCCGTGACTCAGCAGCTTGCCCTTCTGGACCCCGAGGTAAATCGCGTCCTGTTGCAAGTCCCACGCTCGCTCGCTATCTCCCCGCGCCTCTGATTGCCTCACTATGATACGGGCACCTATGCTGGCGACTCGATAGTAGAAATCTTCTGCACTCAGGAAGGAACCCCTTATCACTTTCAGCTTTCGAGCTGCTTATTCCTTACTCCTCCCTTGATTTGAATTCCTCAAGCCCCCGTAACGAGGTGACTTTTGAGTCGACTCAAAAGTCAGGAAGGAACCCCTCATCACTTTCAGCTTTCAAGCTGCTTATTCTTTTCTCCTTCTTCAATTCAAGCTGCATCCCTCATCAAGCCCGTGTAGCGCCATCCTACTCCCTCCCAGCCACCAAGTTCTGTCCTTCTGTCTGGTCCTCGTTCACTCTTCCCATCAGTTCGTTCTCTGGTTGCACTTCTTATTATAGTCACATCCTCAGTGCATCGCCCTTTCACCACTAGAATAGCTTCGTTTCGTCTTGCCTACTACCATACCTTGATGTATACCGCATCGTTTCCTCATCTTCGCCCTTCCCACGACACTACTCAGGGAGCAAGCCTCCACGAGGCCATCAAGCGCCACTTGGCGCAGCGCCATTCGCCGTTCACTCTCTCCCAGTGGCTGGGTCAAGTGGTGGCGTCATGGGTACATGTGGAGTTGCATGACGTGTCCCTGCGCCTGCACACATGCTCATGCAAACGGGTCCAGCCGTGGGAGGAGAAAGCTAGGCCAAGGGGTAGCGATGAGTTCACAGAGGCGCAGAGTATGCAGGCCGGGGGACGCTGCATGGGTGCCGCAACCGCTGTGACTGCTGGCGCTGCCTCTGCTTGTGCTGGTGCAAATGTGGGTGCGGATGTTGGCGCTGCCTCTGCTTGTTCTGATGCAAATTTGGGTGCTGCTGATGTGGATGTTAGTGGTGGTGCTGCTGCTACTGCTGGTGCTGGCGCTGCACCTTCCGTCTGCTGTCTTGGTCTGGAAAGGCTGGCGTTTTCCTGCCGCTCTTTCACCCCTCAAGTAGCGCGTAGATGGCCTACAGGGAATGTAGCAGCGACAGAGATTCGGACAAATCCGGCACCTGGGGTGGATGCAGGCACTGGGCTAGACGCAGGGAGAGAAGCCGGTGTTGTGAGAGAGGCGGAAAAACATGTTTCTAGGGGCGATGGGGATGGGGATGGGAGCAGTAGCAGCAGCGGCAGAGCACGAGCACACTGGAGGGGTCTGCTTGCTGGGCTGTGTGGTGTTGCGTGCCTCATGTACACGCTCGTTGCTCCCCTGTCGCTCATAGACCAGCATCCGGACTCCACTGGCCACAGAGCATTGCATCAGCAGCTGCTGTCGCACCAAAGGAGTTCCTGGTTCCAAGGCCTTTTTTGGAAGTCTCCCTCTAGAGGCTACTTTTGGAAGCCGCTGGTGCAGACCCAGTGGGTGGGGCCAGCAGCAGAGGCAGCATTGCTAGGCAGCACAGCAGATGCAGCCGCAAAGGTAGGAGGAAAGCAGTGGACAGGCTCTTTCCAGCAATCTGCGCTGCTGCTCTGGGCCCTGGGAGTTGTTTCTATCTGCAGTCTCCTGGCTTTTCACCTGATGCGCACTGCCAGGGACACCGCAGCACAGGCTGAGGCAGCAGTGAGGTGGATAAAGGCAGCGGTAGTGTGGGTGAAAGATGCGGGGGGGCTGATTCTGGGGGTTGGGAATGGAGGGAAGGCGTGGAGGGAGGGTGGGTTGCAGCAGCGGTGGGAAGTGAGTGGGCTGGCTCTGTGGCTGGAGGGGGGTGGGAGGGGTATGGTGAGAGGTGAAGGGGTGGAGAGGGGTGGAGGGGGGCGAGAGGGAGTGGAAGGTGATGGTTTAGCTGATGGTGGTGTGGGGGGAAGGGGGAAAGTCGACACGGAGAGACGTGCAGGGATGAGTGTGGGGAAAGGGGAGGGTGAGGAGGAAGAGGTAAGGGAGGAAGAGGAGGAGGAGGACGAGGAGGATGCTGGGGAGGAGGAAGGAGAGGAGGGAGAGGAGGAGGAGGAGGAGGGGGAAGAGGGGGAGGAAGAGGAAGGGGAGGAAGGAGAGGAGGGTGGTGGTGAAGGAAGGGAGGAGGATTTAGGGGAGCTTATGATTTCTGGCGCACCCCGTTCTGAACCAGCCAGGCCAGCCAACGGTTCACGCAGAAACACTATCACATCATTCCAGCTTCCTTCCTCCTCTACCCTCCATCCCCCGCCAACTCGTCACGATATAATCTTCCCATTCGGGGCGTGCATCCAGCTGGAAGTCTCCCGGGACTGGGCCCTGCAGCACACCGTCGTGTCCCTGCATGAGTCAGTGAGAGTCTGTGTGAGAGGCATGCCGGACCTGCTTCCCCTGGCATCTTCTGCTGCTGCCTTTTCTCCCCCCTCTTCTCCACCCTCTCCCTCCGCCACTCTTCGTCTCCCATCACCTCTACTATCTACATCCACGCCAGCACTACCAGAGTCGTCTGCACCAGTGGATGCATCATCACCCAGTGGCAGTGGCGAGGGCAGTGGCAGTAGCAGTTGCAGCGGCAACGGCAGCGGCAGCGGCAGCGGTAGCAGCAGTGCTAGTAGCAGCAGCAGCAGCAGCAGTAGTAGTGGACACAAGGCTGCAGATTCTGAGGCAAACAGAGAGGTTACAGGTAGAGAGGGTACAGGTAGAGAGGGTACAGGTAGAGAGGGTACAGGTAGAGAGGATAGGGAAGCCGCAGTCGCCACAACTCCCACCACAGAAGGTGCTCACGGGACGAACCCTCGCCAGCAGACAATCACCTCTGCAACTTCCATAACGGAATGCCCGAACAACCAACCTGCGACTCCCACCACAGAAGGTGCTCAGGGGACAAACCCTGGCAATCTCGCCACAAAGGGCCAGCAGACAATCCCCTCTGCAAATCCCAGAGCAGGAGGCCCGAGCAAGCAACCTGTGTCTCCCACGCAGCACTCCCTGAGGAGAGATCCGGGTCAGAGTTCAAACACACGGATTGTGAGAGGCAGGTCGGCACGTGCCAGGTGGCAGCGCGCGGTTGGCCAAGTGATGCAGCAGATTCGGCAGAGGAAGGCGCTCAGAATGGGTGCCGCTGTAGATGCTGTGGCTCTCAGAAAACGGTACGCCACTCTCTATGCCGATTGGCTGCGGGCAGCCACCGGAATCTTCCCTCCTGCCCGGAGGAAAGAGGGGGGCGTTTCTGGCCGCTCGTTGGCTTTTTGGAGGGAGGGGGCGAGTGATCAGCAGAGAAAGGCAGTTGCGTCGATGGAGTGTGAGATGACAGAGGCTGAGAAGAGGCTCGGGGCAACTGGAGTGGTTTTGGCTCGGCGCTTGGCTCGGATGCAGGCTCGGAAGGAGGCTCGGAATCAGGCTGGGAAGAAGGCCCACTGGAGTGACTCCTGGGATGTGCTGCAGGAAACGAGGGGTGAATGGGGAACGGCAGAGCTGGGGGTGGAGAGGGGTTGGGAGGGGTTGGAGAGAGGCAGGAGTGGCGGGTGGGAAGTACGGGCGGCTGGGTTGGACGTTGTGGTGGGACTGGTGGGACCAAACATGCCTCTCTTGGTGTTCGATCCCAGTGAAGGAGAATATGCATCTGCTGATAGTGCCCTTGCTGCTGCTGCTGCTGCTGGAGTGCCTGCTGCGGCTACAATCGATATGGGCGGATTGGGTGATCCAAGCCATGCGAGCCATTTAGGTACCCTGCACGTGTCGGTGTCAGGAGTGCGAGCAGGCATGCTGACGCTGCCTTCAGGGGGCTACCAGTGCAGCGCACAGGTCACAGCCGTGCATGGATGTATTCGTGTTGACGCACACAATAGCGATGATTTCTGCTGCCCGCAACAGGACATGAGCCGCCTCTGCAGTAGCAGTAGCAGCAGCAGCAGCACAGTCCCGTTTCTGAGCCTGTCTGGTGGGGAAGACCCGAGGAAGGTAGCTTCTGGGGAAGGTAGTGCTGCTGGTGGTGAGGGGGGGGGTGCATGGGATGAAGTTACAGGCCATGGCGTTGATACAACTGTGACGGAGGCAGGAAGGGCGTTTTCCATCCCAGCCCTCCGCCTCCTCCGCCTCCTCACTCCTGTGCTCCGCTTACTGCACCGCTCGCACGGGGATGCAGCAGAACCACAGGAAGCAGCAGCTAGTTTGGACAGCACCACCCCCACCGCCAACAACAACAACGGCAGGGGAATTAGCAGCAGAGTCACCATCCCCAGTGCTCCTAACAATTCCTGTTTCATGGTATCTCAGAATACCGGGAGCACAAGTCCAGCCTATCAGGAGCCTTTCCTGTCTTTCCGCATGGCTGCCCCTGCTCCAGCCTCCGCCAGACCAGACAGGCCAGTGCAAGTCCACGTGGCAGCTGGTGATTCGCTCCTGGCTGTGAGCCCAGATATGATTGCTGCATTTCTCAAATTGGGAACGTTGGTAGAGCAGGCGATGGCAGTTGCTAGCAGGAGCGGAGGAGAGAGCAGAGGAGACACGAGAGGAGACAGCGAAGGGGGCAGTCGTGGGGAACAGAACAGGAGCAGTAGAAGCAATGGGAGCACAATGGGGAGCACACGAGTGCCACGCACCAGTGAAAATCCTCCCACTCCCACGAGTGGCAATCGCCCCATTGGCAGCTTAGACAGTCTATTAGCAACCATGCAGATGTCTCTGGATGGTCTCATTCCCGTCGCATCGTGGCGTGTGAACGCGACAAGTGGCAGGCTGTGGTTGGGTGTTGGAGTTCGGGCTGACGTGGCAGCGGCGGCAGCAGCTGCTGCTTGTCTGACTCGTGGCAGCAAGTCTGCAGCCAATGATGGCCTGGCACTGACAGCCCTGCCCCGGAGAAAATCTGTCTCGGATTCGAGAGTTGGGGTGAATACAGAGGCATCAATTCCAGTCAAGTCGGCGACACCATCCCGTTCAACAGGAGGAGAAACAGCAGGAGCAGCGAGAGAACGAGCAGGAGAATCAGCAGGGGCAGGAGAACGAGTAGCAGCAGAAGGAGCAGCAGAGAAGCAGGAGGAAGGCCACGTGACAGTAATGAGCGGTGCAGATGTGATAGTTGCGGAGGTTTCCTCTCTTTCAATTAGGCTCCGTCCCAAGCCTCCGTACAGCCCATGCGTGGGTCCCATTGGTGGTAACCATACGCCCCTCAATGGTAACCGTACTGTTTCTGGTAACTTCGAAAGCTCCATCAATAGCCGGACAGCTGTGAATGCAGGGCAAGAGGAGAGAGGGTGCCAGGTGCAAGGAGAGGAGGGTTTGGTGGAGGGGAAGGGCAAGGAGAGAAGAGGACGAGGTAAGGGGGATGAGATGGGAGGGGAGGAGGATGAGATTGAAATGTGGGAAGACGAGAGGAGGCGAGGGGTTTGGGAGAGGCTGGAGCAGGCTGTTTGGAACGGACGGCCAAGATCAGCCAGCAGAGGGAGAGAGTGCAATCCGACGGTGGGAGACAGTGGAGAGCTACGGGGGGATGGGGCAGTGGGGTATGGGGCAGTGGATGTACACCAGGTGTGGCACAATAGCGAGGTGACTGTAACGGGGCTCTGCATCCAGGCAGTGGGTGTAGGCATGGATATGGCGGATGAAATTTGTGATGGTGGGTTGGAAAGTCGCGGTGGTGGTGGGGTGCACTTTCAGGGCAACAGGCAGATGCAGGGGGGAAGCTGGGGGAGGAAGAGCAGGGAGTTTGATGCGGTGACGAGGAGTGAGTCTGTGTGGACAGCGGTGCTGGCTCCCACTCGTCTGAGTGTGCTTGCCTCCTTGTACCGATGCCAGACAACCACGTTGATCACATCCGATACAATCACATCCACGGCTGCTCTGATCCGTGTCCCTGTATTAGCAGCCTCAGTACCCGCCACAGTCATCCATGCGCTTCCCAAGGTGAGAATCGTTCAGCGCCCTGTACAATCACATCCACGGCTGCTCTGATCCGCGTCCCTGTAGTTCACTCTCACAGAAGGGGCAGTGTTATCGCAGAGTAGCATTAAGGGGCAGTGCGATCACAGAATACTAGAAAGGGGTAGTTTCACCTTTTGCTGATCAGCAGCAGCATACGTGTTTGTAGTACTCCAAGCCATTCTGGAGGCCCCTCAAAAATAGACTTACTCGCGTGCTCTCTTCCCTCCCTCCCCTGCCAGGTTCTCCAAGCCATTCTGGAAGCTGGCAGCTTGTCGGCATCGGATACACCTCCCAGCCCAAGGGCAACTGAACCCGCAGCCACTGTACATACGCCGAGCACTGTAGATACACATACGCCTCCAAGCCTTGTAGACTCCCCAAGCTCTGTAGATAAACCATCTGCTTCTACTTCCTCTGCCTCCTCCTCTTCCTCTTTCCCCTCCTCCTCATCGTCCTCCTTCTCTTTTTCTCTCGCCCTTGGCCTAGAGATTGCCTCTCTCTCTGCTGCTCTCTGTGCTACAGTGCCCTTCAGTGTCGTGTCTGTGCCAGCTAGGATGCTTCCAGACGTGCTGAGCTGTCCTCTGACACGTGGCACACGGGACGAGGAGAGGGGAAAGCAGAGGAGGATGAGGGAGAGGGGCAGGAGGGGAGTCTATTTTTGAGGCGCCTCAAAAATAGACTCCTCACACAGGAGGATGAGGGAGAGTGGAAGGAGAGCAGATGGGATGTGAGGGGGAAGGAAGAGGGAGGAGGTAATGTGGGGGATGATATTCCGTTCAGCAGGAGTAGCAGTTTGCAGGTAAGAGGCAAATGGGGAGCTGCGGACGGGCGTAGGCGGGGGTCTATAAGTGGGGGGGGATTTACAGATGAGTCGAGAGAGGGTGGGGGAGATGGATGGAGGGATAAGAGAAGAGCGAGAGGGGAGGTGGAAAGTGCAGGGATGATGGGCTTGGGGAGAAGGGGGGAGTCGTGGGGGGGAGATGAGGGAAACAGGCGAGGTGTGGGTGTGAGGGACCTTCAACAAGGAGGTAGTATGCAGGGTGGGGAGGGGGAGGGGGAGCGGTGGGGAGTAGATGAGGGAATCGGGCGAGGTGTGGGTGTGAGGGACCTTCAACAAGGAGGTAGCGTGCGACGGGGAGAGAAGGAGGTGAGGAGGAAAGTGCGCCTGCTTCGAACGACTTCTGAGCAGCCGTGGATGGTGCGAGGGGAGGAGGGCGAAAGGCAGGCAGTGGGGGGCGATGTAGTGCTGGGAGACGTGGATAAGGCGGGTAGGTCTTGGATGTCGAACGGAGAGGTGGATGGTGGAGTGGGAAGCGGTGAGGAGGGGCCGAGAGGTGAGGGAGAGATCCATGGTGATCGGGGGGATGGGGATGAGGGCTACAGGCGTGGAACAGATGGGATGGATGGGGCTGGCATCATGCGAGGCGTGCGAGAGCAAGGCAGCGGAAGAAGAGGCAGATGGAGTAGCGGGAAGAGCAGCAGATCGAACAGCGGAAGGAGCAGTAGAAGGCACTTGCCATCCGCGAGAATGCTTGGGAAGGGCCTGTGGAGGGCCCTGGGGCTGGCTCAGCAGGGTGAGGATGGTGCTGAGAAGGAAGGGCGAGGTGAGGCAGGGGGGAGGATGAGGAGAATAGCCTCTGTATCAACACCTGCACATCACATCACCATCGAAGCCCAGGGCAGGATGCAGCAGGTGGCAGCAGCAGAGGCGCGGAATCTCACTCTGGATGTTCTTCTGACTGATGATACCGACAGCACCCGCCTGAGTGACAGCGCCGAGGGCTGGCAGCAGCAGGTGCTGGTGGGCGTGGCGCCTGTGCTGCTCTCCTGCCACTCCGATGGGTCTGAGGTGGTGAGGAAGGTGCTGCGGAAGGTGAAGAGCGGCGGCAGGGACAGGAGGAGCAGTGGTGGAAGAAATGGAAAGAGCCGGGGACGTGGTTTGTTGATGTTAGCACTGCCCGTGCTGGGAGGTCCAGTGGACACAATACGGGTGAATCATTTCTCAGCTCGGGTAACTCAATCGATCCATCCCTTGCCTTTGCCTGCCTCAGAAGCACATCCTCTTTTCAACGGAGCCTCTTTGATTCAGGCTTCCTCTCCTGGTCCTCTCTTCAACGGTGACGCAGCGGCTTCCCTGTGGAATGTCCCTGCGCTTGCTAGTCTCGATGATTCACAGGAGGGAGGGGAGGAGGGAGCGGAGGAGGAGGCACGTCAGCAGCAGCAGGAACAGAAGCGTCTTCAGCACATGCCAAGCTTTCTAGGGCCTCGGGAGAGAGGCAGCAGCAGGAGCAGGGGCAGCAGGGGCAACAGCCGCAGCAGCAGCAGCAGCGGCGGCGGAGGCAGCAGTAACACTGGGTCACCAGCTGTCTCTGATTGCTCTGAGGTGTGGCAACTGTCGGCTGCTGTGGGCACCATCCGGGGTGAGAGCAGTGCCAGGCTCGGGGGGCTCAGCAGGTTCGGCAGGGTTGAGAGGCTCGGCAAGCTGGCCAGAATGGGCAGGCTTGGAAGGGATCGCAAGCACCCAGGCAGTGTGCAGAAACAACACTCAGAAGCCGCTGACGTGTCAGTCGTGTATCAATTGCCCTTGGCACCGAATGGCGCACCGTCTACTGTAGCGTCCTCAGGGGACTCCATTGGTCTGTCCTGGCAGGGAGGGCTCATCGCCCTGGACCCCGCTTCTCTCTCCCGCCTCTCCCTCTCCCTCTCAGCTCTCTCCCCCCTCCTCACGTGCAGTGCTTTGGGACAGGGGAGGGGGAGGACGAGGGATGGTAGAGCTGACAGGACAGCTGCTGAAAGGCTTGATCGAGAGGGC